TGCTGTAATCAAGGATGCTTTGGGCAGAATATTAAATGATCCAGGAAGTATTAAAAGAAGATGGAAGGAATATACTGAGTTATTATATAGAAAGGAATTGGTAGATACAGAGTTATTTAAAGAAATAACATATGAGCAAGAGCCTATGTTGATGAAGGAAGAAGTTCAAGCTGCTTTGAAGGAAATAGCAAAAAATAAAGCTCCAGGAATAGATGGTATACCAATTGAAGTATTTCAGATAACAGATGTTGCCCTGGATGTACTCACCAAGTTGTGTCAAGAAATCTGGAGAACAACCACTTGGCCAACTGACTGGAAGAGAGATATCTGAAAAAGGATATAATACAGGAAGAAAATAATTGCAAACACAAGGGATAAAGTTGAGACCAAAGTGGATGGCAGAAGAGACTGAAAATTTTACCAGGACATCTAGAAGCCAAAACAAAGGGAAGAAAAGCAAAGTAAATTAGTTGAATGGAAGATTTTAAAAGGTAACATGAAATGATAAAGTACTATAATGAAATGTTCAAAGAGCTGAAATTAGTACATAAAGAAGAACTCGATGATCATTTCACAAGCTTAAAGTACTGTAAAACAAATTCAAGCCTTCAGTTAAAATTCTGAAGGCTGCTATTGGTAAAATGTTGACTGATCCAGGAAGTAACAAAAGAAGATGCAGGGAATGTACAGAATTACTGTACCAAAAAGAATTGGCTCACATGGAATCAATGTTGATGAGTGTAGAAATGGAGTCTGCACTGAAGTCATTGGCTAAAAAAAAAAAAAAAAAAAAAAGAGAGAGAGAGATAGCAAAAGAAAAATATGGCCCTAGGAATTGATAGAATACCAGTTAACATGTCCCAACAAACAAACACAACCTTCAGTGCGCTCATTAGTCCATGTCAAGAAATTTGAAAGATAAATACATGGGCAACTGACTGAAAGTGTTCCACACTTGTTTCCATTCCATTCCACAGAGTGTGGAAACTATCAAACAGTCTCACTCATATCACATATAGAAGGATGTCTATTTGTATTTTCTTTGATATATAAAGACATTTGATTCTGTGGATCATAATTAATTATGCCAAACATTGAGAAGAATGGGAATCCCAAAACTTGTAACTGTGCTCATGTGAAACACATACCTAGACCAGGAAGCTGTTGTCTGAACAGAACAAGGGAACACTGTATAATTTAAAAGTAAGAGAGGTATGAGTCCGTGTCTGTATTCTTTCTCTGTACCTATTCAATTTGTATACAGAGCAAATCATTCAAAAGCCTGGATTTTATGAAGAACAAGGTGGTGTTAGGATTAGGGACTTATCAACAGCCTGCATTATGCAGATGACACAACCACTTTGTTGAAAGTAAAGAAAACTTGAAATGCTTGCTACAAAAGATCAAGGACTACAGCCTTCAGTGTGTTATTTTTTAAAATTTTTTTATTGATTTTATTGAAAATTTACAAATATTTTGGATTTCCATTCATTCATTGTTGCACTTTTCTCCCTGCTCACTCCTCCTCTCCACTTTGTTCTTCTCTTTGAAAAGTGAAAAAAAAAATTCTTTCATTGTTGTACAATCCCTCCCCCCAAGTCCACTCCCCTATGCAGCCTTCATTCTGGACTCAAGTCATGACAATAATACCTAATCATATATCCCTTTAAAATAATTTTCTCCCTCATCTGTTTTAATGCAGTATACATTATTTATCCCAACTTTCTCAGTTCCTGCGCCCCCAACCCCGATGTCAGTCTTGTTTTACAACAGTGGCACTATGCAGTATTTGCCCTTTTGTGACTGAGATAGTTCACTCAGCATAATGTCCTCCAGGGTCACCCATTTTGAATAATATTTCATGAACCTTCAGTGTGTTTTATATCTCAACATTAAGAAGACAAAAATCTTTACAGGGGTCCGAAAGACAACACCACAATAGAGGGAGAAAAGATTGAAGTTGTCAATGATTTCATGTTGCTTGGATCCACAATCAACACTCATGGCACCAGCAGCCAAGAAAGCAAAATAATTTTTATATTGAGTAAATCTGCTGCCAATGATATTAGTTTAAAGATTAAAGTGCATCTGATTCAATCCATGGTCTTGTCAATTATTTATTATACATCCAAAAGTTGAACAATGACTTAAGGATGACAGAAGAATTGACGTTTTTGAGTTGTGTGTTGGAAAAGAATACTGAATATCCTATGTACTGCAAAGAGAACAAACAAGTATATTTTGGAGAAAGTGTAACCAGGATGCTCTTTGGAGGTGAGAGTGGCAAAATATTGTCTCACAGACTTTGAGCACATTGTTATCAGAGACAGTCTCTGGGAAAAAAAATCATATTTGCCAATGTGGAGCATTAGAGAAAAAGAGAAAGGTTTTCAAAAGATGGAGTGACACAGTGCTTGTAACAATGGTCTCAAATATATTGGAGATTATGAGGATCAAATATATTGGAGATTATGAGGATAGCAGGATTATGAAAAGAGGCCAATGTCCAGATCCATTCTTCTTAGAGTTGCACTCAACCTAATAACCCCTAACAACCACAGCTATATTCTGTTATTATTTAAGCATAAAACATTCTTTGTCTTAAAAATCATCAGTGTTCAGTGATTTAATATCTTATATGTAATGTGGCTTATTTTATATTGTTTTTCTGTATTGGAAATTTTATCTAATTAAAATCAATTTGTCATGGGGATGAGATTGTTTCTGTAAGGTTGTGAGATTTTCTTTTTATAATTCTTGTCAGAGTATTCATTACTTCCTTATTTCGTAGACTATAGATAAAAGGATTCAATAAAGGAATTATCAGAGTATAAAAAATAGCAATTGGAATATCTTTTTCTCCTTTGTTAACTGAATGTGGCAAAATGTACATGAAAAGAAGAGAACCATAAAATATTATGATAGAGAAAAAGTGAGATGCACACGTAGATAAAGCTTTCCTTCTTCCCTCTCTGGATTTCATTTTGAAAATTGTGAAAAGGATGCAAAGATAAGATATTAAAACTATTGAAACAGTGAAGATTTGAATTGACTCTCCAAAAATAACTACCATCATTTCGTTGATGTAAGGGTCTACACAAGACAGTCTGTATAATGGAATAATGTCACAAAAAAAGTGGTTGATTTGATGAGATCTACAGAAGGTTAATCTAAACAGAAGTCCCACGTGAATCATTGAATGCAGGTTCCCAGCTATGTATACTCCTATGATCATCCAAATGCACACTTGCTTTGACATCTTCGTATGGTACTGCAGTGGACAGCATATGGCCACATAGCGATCATAGGCCATTACAGCCAGGAGAAAGCAGTCTGCAGTTTCAGCAAAGCAGAAGAAATAAAATTGTGCCATGCATTCACTGAGAGAAATAATTCTGTCTTTTGAAAAGAAGTTCTCCAACATTTTTGGGGTAATGGCACTAGAACAGCAGGAATCCATCAGTGCCAGGTTGCCCAGAAAGATGTACATTGGTGTGTGAAGACGGTGCTCCATGATAATCAGTGCAACCAAACCAAGATTTCCCACCATGGTGACCAGATAGACTATAAAGAACACCATGAACAGAAGGGGCTTCAGATCTGGATGATCCATAAATCCTGTGAGGATAAACTCAGTTGTCAAAGAATGATTGTCCTCATTCATCTCTTCTTTCTCTGTTGAGATAGGAATCATGGAGGGATATGGTTCTAATTTAGAGTAAATCTTTTTTTTAGGGAGCTCTGTTGGCTTAGTGGTGACAAGTTGCACTGCTGACCCCAAGGCATGTAGTTTCAATTCTCTAGCTGCTCCATGTGAGAAAGGTAGGCAGTCTCCTCCTGCACAATTCACAGCTAATGAAAACCTTTTGGAAGGTCCACTATGAGTCAGTTCTGACTCATCAGCCCATATCAACAATTGTCTTCTTTAAAATGCCTCCTGATCATTTGTTGATATGACAAGACCCAAATGAGGAGAAGCAGCTGCAAAAAATCATTAATAACTGGACCATGGAATGTGAATCTTGGAAAGTTGTAAATCATCAAAACTGAAATGGAGGGCATAAAGATTGTCATCTTAGATATTAGTGTGTTAAGGCAAACTGACATTGGCCATTTTGAATCAGACCATCACATGATTTTGAAATACTAAGATCTGAGTAATAGGATACTAACTATATGTATTTAAGTGAGACTTATTAATACAACTATAATGAAAATATATTCATCAATCATTAAAAATATCCTTTGGACAACAAAAAGGCAAGCTACTGCTTTAGGCTTTTCCTCGCTGTTACTGAAATACAGACAGATGCATTCTAGGTAACATCACTTCCCCAAAAAAGCCATCTTTAAGAATAGTGTGAAACAAAACATAAGCAAACCAATAAAAAAAGTGTTAAAAAAAAAGCCATCTTATATGGCTTCAAGTATTAGAGCTCAAGAATCACAAGAGTATGCTGGTAAGACTTGATAAATATTTACAATGACTTTGTGTTTGAACGCATACAAAAATTATTGAACAAAAATATAAGATACTCTTGATGCCCTCAGGTATTTAAATGTAAACTTTTGTCCTGTTGATCTTGGAAGTATAAAAGTGTTTGAGGTTTTTTTCTCTCCTCTTTTTTTATCTTCCCTCCTCTCACTGAAAAAAAAAAATTCCTCCATAATATGTCAGTGCCCTGAATATTTCAAAATAACCTACTATAATGTTGCTATGTGCATTCAGGTGGTAACTGACTTCTTGTTGGCCCTCCAGTGGATTTTCAGAGGCTGTTAATCACATGGGAGGAGACTGCCCATCCTTCCCTTGCAGAGCAGCTGGTAAGTTCAAACGGCTTGTCTTTGAGATCGTAGCAGAGCTTTTTACCACTAGGCTGCCAGAACTCCCAGAGCTACATAATTCTTACCAGGAGAACACCAAATCTTTACAATTTATGTTATGAATTGCAAAATATTAATAATATATAGGTGCAGTAAATATTTCAAAATAGCCTACTATAGATGTGTTAATTTATCTTTTAGAAAATATACAAAGAAGGGAATGATATATTAAGGAGGAGATTATTTGTAGAAAATTACCTTAAATATTTACAGAAATAAAAATGTCTTAGTATGTTCATGGCATATATAATTTTCATATTTCCATAAACACTGATTCTGTCTATCCTATTATTTCTTCCAAATCATTATTTTATTTATACATATTTGGCACTTTGCAATACAGCTAAATATTTTTGCTTTTTTGTTTAAGTGTCATTTGTGAATAATGATACTCAATGAAGCTTTAACTAAATAACTAGACCAAATTGATCTACATTTTCTGAGCCCTTTACACATGCTACATAACCAGCATAATCTAGGAGTTGTGGGGGTTTTTTCATCCACATTGCTTTTTTGTCTTTGTATTTGTACATAAGGAAATTATTATTTCTAGATTTTTGTGAAGGAAGCTGTAAAACGCAATTATAACAAACTACACAGAGTACTGGGACTGTTGATGTTGTATGCCATCAAATAGAACTGACCCATAGCAGCTGACCCTTCAGTGAGTTTTCAGAAGCAGTTAATTGTACAGGAAGGGTTTTTCCATCTTTTCCACACAGAACTACTAGTGGATTCAAACTGCATACCTTTGGTTTGGCAGTGAAAGTCCTTACCAATAAGTCACTAGAGGTCCTTGAATATTGGGACTAGTGTACATGTTTTCAGCATCCTATCAAAGATGCTAAGTTATCTCTTTGGTTCATGTAAAATGAAATTGTTAACTTGGCGGAGGGTGGGGTGGGGGGAGGCCTCAGAAGGGATATTATTTCAAACTTTTATATGAGATGATTTATGTGTTTTCCTATCATTTACATTGTCTCTTAAAAAATTACCATATAAGCATGTGAAGGAGCACTGGTGGCTTAGTGGTAAGAAGCTGCACTGCAATCCGGCAAGCACATGGTTCGAATCCACCAGCTGTCTGGTGGGAGAAGGATGATCAATCTCCTCCCATGTGATTAACTGTCTCTGAAAACCTGCCAGAGAGTCAACTATGGGTCAGTCCCAGCTTTATGATACACAACAACAACGACAATAGTATTATATAATTCAGAGCTTATCAATTCAAGATTTCCAAGTGCACAATGTTATAACACTAATCATGTTTATCATACTGTACAATTGTATCTATTATATTTAGGATTCGATGGCAAAATACAAATTTTCTGCTCTACATTTTAATTTTTATACACTTTAACACAAGCTTACCTTTATACTTTGATTTTCTAACAATAAAAAAATCCTCAAGATAATCTTAGGAGTTTTTGAAAAATAAAATCTTTGTTTTATACTGATTTACTTACAATGTTTGTATGCCTATCTCTCCTTCCACCCATCAAATTATGCAACTCTCTGATTAAAGCCCACCATAATCTGTATTATTTTTTCTATAAAAGTTTATCTTTCTAGTTTTTTAATAGCAGTTGTTGTTCTTATGTGTCCTTCGTTCAGAATGGACTCACAACTGACACTCTGGTGGTTTTTCAGAGGCAGAGTATCACATGAAAAGAGATTGCTCAACTTTCTCTCACAAGGCAATTGGTAGATTTGAAACGCCTACCTTTGGAATGGCAATGCAACTTCTTACCTGCTAGGCCAAGGATATCCTGAATGAAGATGTTAATCCTGTAAATGTCATCAAGACAAAATGGATTAATTGTTTTCAAAATATTGAAATTAATTTCCAACAAATATCAAAAGGAAACCATGGGGCAAACATCTTTATTAAAAATATTTATTTAAATTGATATGAAAAAATTAGATGCTATCTAATTGAAGTACCTTACAAATGAATTTAACTACACATTTTTTAACAAAATTTTTTTGTTACCCTGTGTCACAGAATAGAATCTTTTTGTGGCCTGTGATCTGAAATTATACCTTATTAAAACAAATCATAATGACTTATAATATTGTACTTCATCCTAGATGCTTCCAGTCTTCAATTTACGGGGGGAAAAGCTAGAAATATAATTGATGACTCGTAATCTACAAAGATCAGTATAATAAATATTTCTGAATGGTCATGTTAATAATAAAAACAAATTAGGTCCTTTCTCTTACCCAGGTTTTTTTGAGAAAGCTTGGTAGCATCTTGTTACTTGCCTTATGACATTGAGACAAATACAATATTTGGATATAAATCTTGGCATCTAATACACTTGAGATTGAAAATTAAAACTGTGAAAACTACTAATAAATAATTATAATTGCAGAGCAAAGTGCATTTTCCATCTAATCCCAAAGAGATTTTCTTATGCTGACAGCAGTGTATTTCTGTGGGATAGTGAGTCCCCAAAACATAGAAAATCATGTGACTTTAATTAAAGATGTTCTCTAAGATGCTGTGGTAAAAGCAAATGACCTACACTACATTCTGATAATTTTATTGATTGCTATGCAACTGATCTAATTTTTAAATGCTATTCATCATTCTGTATATAAAATGTGAACTGGATAGGGGAAAAGTCTCAAGCTCTTTTCTTACTGGATTAAATAGATTAATGCTGGTTATGAAAAGTAACTCCTAGAAGAAGGAAAAGTAGCATCTACTTGTTTCAGGTCTTTTGTTTATAGTGTTGCTATGAGTCATGCTCAACTCAACAGCAACTACAACAACAATGAAAAGTAATTCCTAGGTGAAGAAATAATGGAAAGATGTGAAAGTCCATTTAATTTCACTGAATACTTTGTCAATTGAATTTGTTTCCATAATCCTTATGAATCATTGAAGAAACACTGATATTACTATGCAGTATGAACCTAGGAAAACTGGAAGTTATAAAAAATTAAACAGAAGACATAAAGATCAACAGCACAGGCATTAGTAGGCTGAGACTGAATGATATTGACTATTTAAAATCAGATAAAAATATAATCTACTTTAAAGAAATTGTGCCAAGAGGAGAGAAGACTGGAGTGGGGGAAACCTTAGTATGACCAACAAATACTTGCCAGAGTTGGAGCGTACTTTTTTTGGACCCAGGCGGGCCTTACTTGCTGAAATTCCAGAACACATGAAAGTCTTCAGGCAATAGCAAGACTACAGATAATGAAGGAAACAAAGATTTTCATCATAATTGTTAAAGAGAGAGTGCCTTTCTCTATAGCTCGTATCCTAAACATGAACATGTAGCCTCCTAAACTGTAAGAAAAGATATTCCTGTTTGTGAAAGCCATCCACTTGTGTTATTTCTGTTATAACAGTGTTAGAAAATGAAGATACTCATTCATTGAACTCATTCATTCAGAAATAAGGATAATAAACCTATTACATGTATATGTCACTACATATACATGTAATATATTAAAACCTTTGAAACTTGATGATTGATACATGCACATTTGCTCTGTGTGGTTTGGAATTTTCCATAATAAAAATTTAAGTTATAACCCAAAAGTATACAAAAAGGTAAAAAGAATTCTCTATGACTAAACATAAATCCATAAATCTCCTTTTCTTTTACAATTTCCTTATGATGTTATTCTTATCATATATGTGGGTTGGTTTCAAGATCATCTATTTTCTTCCATGGTATGTTTACTGATTCTTGAAATAATAAAAAATTAATATAATTCCTGTAGATTTTTATGCATTTTAGAAATTTGTAATTGACT